GGGGGCGCACGTGAGCCAGGCGTAGGGTGGGGGTGCGGTGGCGGGGTGCTGGCCGAGGGGCATCACCTCAACTCACTCACCTCACTCGTGATGCACTTTCTATCGGTTACTCCACACTTTTGCTTGTACTGAAACGCTCAGTAACAACACGATGCTATGAACAGTGAAGAATTTTGTCGTTTTCGCACGCTGTGCTCACGCGGGCGAGTGGGGAACAGCGGGGCAGCAGTGTGCCCCTACGTCCCTGTTTAGAGCTGCACAGTTGGTAGCTAGCTACAAACGACCGTAGAGTGCATGGGCGTTGGGGGCGAACAGTTCTAGAGTTAGTCGTGATTCTGAGTAGAAGAGTGACTGCCGGCGCTCGTAGCCTTTCTTAATTAGGAGAGAAAAGTAAGATCCTCTACAGCGGAGGACTCGTTTACGTCTTTTTTTTTTTGAGGTTAGGTTTCTTCTTGGCAATATTGTAATTTTGGTAATAGTATAATTCGGCTAACGAAGGAAGATCGCTTAGAACATTGATTGGTCGAGCCTCGAACCCCTCTACCAGCGTGACGTAGAGGCTGGAATTTTGTTGACCGATCGGGAACGTTTGTTATTTATAGCCATTCTTCTTCCTCTGTTAGCTGAAAAACACTGCCCCCGCGCGGTTCAAACAAGACCCTCGAGGCGTGTTTTCTGATAGTAAGAATGTGTTTTACCATGTGTCATGTGTTCGAATGTGTTGTCTGTTTTTGCATCAGGCAACCGGCTTCTAGGTTAGGTCGCATGGATCTGAAGAGAGATGGCTCCACGGCCACACGGCCGCCGCCGCCACAGCCGCGACCACCGACAACCCGCCCTACCCGACTGCAGCCCCGACTGGCCTGTAATGCGCCAAAGAAGGATGAAACACGCCTAGTGTTCGAAGATACAGGCGCGGAACAAAGTGAGCAGGTAAACGATGCTGTGATTATTTTTTTATCCGACATCAAATACTGTTTTCCCTCGTGGGCCGCGATCGTAAAAAAAAAACAAAAAACAATGCATCCTGGCATGCGTCGTGCTCGGCTTGCAGATGACGCTCGTCTCGCTGCCTGATGTGCCGCTGCTCGAGGTGTTGTCCTACCTGCGGCCCAAGGACCTGGGCGCCGCCGGACTGGCGACATGATAGTAGGACCTAAGATGGAGAACCGGCTTGGGGCCCCGATCCGCTACGCCACTGCGCGTTGCGACGTGTAACTCCCGTTCAAGAGAACTTACACACGAAAGGAAAACTGTTTTAGAATCTAGAATGTCTGCTGATTTGCCGCATATAAAAATAATTGTCGAACAACAGTCTGGAAGTGGAGATATGGAAGCTCAAAGTTACGCCGCCGCTGTCGCGGAGGCGGCGCCTCTGAGC